AGCATTGTGCACACTAGCCAAGTTAGGGAATCGACATAAATTTCCATCAAAGATGAATGAATAAGGAAATGTGGTACATACACAAGATGGATTATTACAAAAGAAAGAAAATTTGTTATTTGCAAAAACATAGATGAAATTGGAGAAAATAATATTAATTGAAAAAAGCTAGGCACGGAAAGATAAATGCCACATGTTCTTACTCATTCATAGATCTAAAATAATTGACAGCATAAAATAAACAGTAGAATGATGGTTTCAAAGGCCTGGGGGCAGGGGTGGAATAAAATATGATCACCTAAGAATCCAAAGTTTTATACAGAAAAGAACATTTTTAAGATCTATTATATAATGTAGTTGATATGTTTAACAATAGTATGTTGTACATTTCAAAATAGCAGGAGTAAATTTCAAATGTTCTAACCACAAAGCATATCTAGGGTGATAGACATGTGAGTTACCTTGATTTGATTATTTTACAATGTATTAATAAATCATCACTGGAACCCATAAATATACATAATTATAATTTGTCAATTTATAATAAAATTGTTAACGTTAAAATAAAATAATAAAGAACTTTTGATAGTTTTCTATTACCAACTAGAGAATTAAAGATAGCTAGTAGAAGCATAAGTTTCAAAATTGCGTTTCACTCTGGATTGAAATTGAAGAAGAAATAAAATCAGATTTTCTTTATAAGAATCTTCAAATAACTATAGCCATGATAATGACATTTCAGTTAACAAGAGTATGGCCTGATATCAGAAAGTAAAGCTTCATGTTAACCTTAATATGTATGAAGAGCTGATCAAGGGCCTGGGTTCAATCTCTGGGAGAGAGAGAGAGAGAGAGAGAGAGAGAGAGAGAGAGAGAGGAGAGAGAGAGAATAAAGCCTGATTTTGTTTCTCTCTTAGGTCCTGAGTAAATCTGATAAAGCAGAAAGAGGATTTGCCAATCTATGACTTAGATAACTATATGTTCAATTTTTACTCTAGGTTGCTTTGTGTTGGATGTTGAATGTACCCTAAAATCACATGGGTTGAAGGCTTGGTTATGGCTACTAATCATTAGTGAATCCTTAGGAATGTCCTTGAGGATAGAAATTAGGTCATTTGGCCTTCTGCCCTAAAATGGGATATAGTTACATGGGTCTTTTCCTCTGTTCCTTTTTCTTACTTGAGCAGTCTTCTTTAGCCATTCCAACATAATGTACTGTCTCACCATATGCCCTAAGCAATGGGCCAGCTGGCCATGGAATGAAACCCCTAAGACTGTGAACCAAAATAAAATGTTCCTTCTTAAAATTTAATTACCTTAGGTATTTTCTCATGGTTTTGAAAAGGTGGCACACATGTTCTGGCCAAAATTAAGTGGCCATGTTTGCGAGCTTCTCTTTCCTTTCTTCAAACATATCCATAGTTTTAAATTATGAGCAGATTAAAAGTATGGAAATGTTGTATAAGACACCTTTAAAAAGGAAGGACATGTACTTACATTACAACATTGATGAATTGTGTATACATTACACTAAATGCAAAATTCTAGCCATAAAAACTCCAAAAGAGACAAAAATTCCATTTATATGAGGTATTTCTACTATTCGGTCATAGAGACATAAGGTGGAATAATGGTTTCCTGGGGCTAGTAGGATGTGGGAATGGGGAGGGGAAGGTACTGTATGATGGATAAAGAGTCACAATTTTACAAGATAGAAAAATTCCTACAATCGGCTAGCACTCCTGGTTGCACATTACGAATATATTTAATACCACTGAACTGTTCATTCAACAATATTTAAAATGGAGCTGGACACAGGCCTTTGGTCTCAGTGACTGAGAAGGTGTGGTAAGAGGATTGTAGTTTGAAGCCAGCACACACAAACATGCAAGAAAAATGAACTAAATAGTGAAAGGAATGGGTCATGGCTCAAGTGGTAGAGCACCTGTCTACCAAGTGTAAAGACCCAAGTTCATTCCACAGTACTGTCAAAAATAAAATAAAATAATGATAAATGGTTAAGATGATAAATTTTATGTAACATGATTTTTTCACAATTAAAAATTGAAGACGGGGGAGTGAAATGTGAGAGCAATTACAAATAATATTTAAAGTTTTACATTAGAGATTTATCAAGAATGTCGAAAGGGTTGAGAAAATGAAATTATCTAATACAGAATAAGAACTACTTTCTCTTTACCATTAACCCAAGCACAATGACGTATAACATAATACAAATCTATACTGTGGATATAGCCATGTCCTCATTCTTAATAGTAATTCAGGGATTGATACATTGCTCACTTGAAGTAGAGTGCTATGCAAACTTTTGTAACCTCATTGTGAAAATTACTATAAAACCAAATATATATATGTATACATACAAATTACTTAGATGTCCCACTTATAAGATGAATACCTGAAACCTACTGCACAGACTTAGAATGTTGTCAGCAACTCAGAGCCCTCTATGTGCCCTTATTTTCTCCATGATAATTCTGTTGAAATCAGTCTCCAGCTTTTATTTACTCTTTCATCACCTAAATGGGGCCTCATTTCCATCTGTACCTAATCCACAGACATAAAAGAGAAAGTGGAAAGTCACAAGCTGGAGTGGTATCTGTCATGTGTGGAACTGTCTCAAATCAAATCACTGTACAAAACACGGGGGAATGTACATTTGATGAAGAGATGAACAACAGCCATCTCTGCCATACTGGGTATTCATGTTGCTACAGAAAGTCACTGATGTGATAATCAGGTATTGAATGCAAGGATATATTTTGGACCCTGGGACTGAGTAGACACCCAAAACCAAAAATGATGATATACTCTACTCTTATCTGTTTCTGTTTATAGTAAGACAAGTATAAAATAAGACTATATTCACTAATTCAAAGTCAGGCAATAGAGCTTTGCAGTAGGTACAATGAAGGATGCTGCATCTGGACATTTTTGTTAGTTGAGTATTTTGCTTTTATATCTGCTCTTAAGGGATTTTTATTCATTAAATACATTGTGTTGCACTGATTTTTCGAAATTGATTTTTGTACAATAAAAAAATCTTTTCGATATAGAATCAAAACATCACAGCCAAGTCTCAGATTTACCACTTGTAAACTATGATTTGGAACAAGCATCTCTGAGCATCACAATCATCACATCTGAAGTGAGAACTAATATTCCTTATCTCATTGACTCCCAAGTTCTGACCTGAGAAACACACAGACAGATGGGATAGTGAAGAGGAAACTGCACAACACTCCTCCTGAAGATATTGTATCACAAACAGCCACTACGCTGAGGTTTATTTAGCTTCACTCTATATCTGAGAGTAAATTTTTAAAGTGCAAGTGATTCTACCACCCTCCTACATGCTGTGGAAGGCAGAGATTCTGCCCTCAGAATGTAAACCTTCCCCACACTCAGTGAGATTTCAGTGTTTAAGGGTATATATTCTGTACAACAAGCCCAGCAGATGAACTGCTCCCTTCATCTACTGCTCAGTTTAATTAATAGTGAAATGTCCCAATGCTACAGGCAAAATGCAGCAGTGTCAGACTAAAGGACAAATGCCATGTTGACCATCAAAAGGACATCATGCCAACAAAATCAGTTTTTAGAGTAATTTTGACTTTGGAATTTATCCTATGTGAGATATAACTCTGCTATGTGGTATTATGAAAATTTACCAGTATATCTTTCTCTGGCTGCCTTTTTTGTGATGGTGTCAAACAGGATATTGGTTCAAGTTGCTAGTCACTTAACTGTTACAAAATGCTTTAGAGTGGTCCATGTGTGTCTGTTTCATGTTTAGTAAAATAAAATTCATAATATTGAGTAGAAAGAAAGTATACCAGAAGAGGGTCATAGACGACATCAACAGATGAACAGCTTTTTCTAGACGTTTTAATTAAGGCGCTCTTGGACTTTAAGTGAATGTTAATCTCTCTGACCTTCATCATCCTGTTCACATAATAAATATTGACAATCAAGTATGTTCTACTTTGCTTTAATAAGGAAGATGTAACAAATCTGAGAAAAGAACATTTAATACATTGAGTTTATAGGTGCAAGGGCGTTATATTTCATAGTCTACAAAAACATCTATATCTAACAAACATTGACATTTGAAAGTGAGATATTCCAACCCAGAAAAGCATGGAATGACAACAGTGGAGACAGACAGTCTGACTTATACTTCTCTACAACTGAAAAATGAAAATAGTCCCAGTCAGGTGCTGGTGTTAACACATGTAATCCTAGATACTTGGGAGGCTGAGATCTGGAGGACTGTCATTTGATGTCAGTTTGGGAAAAAACAAAAACAAAAAAACTTTGCAAGACACACCATGTCAAAAACCAGTAGCTGGACACAGTGGTACACAACTGTCATCCCAAGCCATGTGGGAGGCTGAAAAGATTGAAGTTCCAGTCAACTTGGGTAAAAAAAAGTTTGCCAGGCCCCATCTCAATGGAAAAAGCTAGGTAAGGTAGAGTACACTTGTCATTCCAGCTGTAACAATGGCAGGATGAATAAAATAGGAAACCACAGTGCAGTCTGACATAGACAAAAAAAGCCAGATTCTATCTCCAAAATAAACAGAGATGAGCTGCAGTTGTGGCTCAAGCTGCAGACCACATACCTAGAAAGCTTGAAACTCTGTGTTCAAACCCCTGTACCACAAAAAGTGCCCAATGTCATACTGAAAACTAGTGTTACATTATTTAATCATTGACAGAACCACTCATTTTTCTAGCATAAAATCCATAATGACAAAGTAAAAAGAAAAATAATGCCTTAATATCATTCTTAAGCAGTTAAAATACTAAAAGGAGAAATTGTGCAAATAGTGAGAAACAAAGAGAACTTAATGTGGAAGAAAAGACAATTTCCAAATTTCCTTCCCCACAGTAAGAAATCAAACTAAAATATACTAAATAAATAAAGAGGATCTCTCTGTGTTATAACTATAGCCACAGAGAGATTCAGTTTCTGATCAAAATCTTCTCCTGCTCAGGGTTTTTCTCACAGCAACTTTAACATCTTTGTTCCTTAAGCTATAAATTAAAGGATTCATTCCAGGAACTACAATGGTATAAAAGACAGATGAGATTTTTCCCTCATCCATGGAGCCAGCTGAGGATGGTTTGAGATACATAAATGCACCTGATCCAAAGAACAGGAAAACAGCAATTATGTGGGAAGTGCAGGTACTGAAGGCTTTGGATCTGCCTTCAGTGGATCTTATTTTGAGGATGCTAGAAAGGATGAAAACATAAGAGAAAAAGATGATGAGAGTGGGTACAAAGATGTCTTTCCCCCCTACTATGAAAATCTCTATCTCATTGACATAGGTGCTAGTGCATGAGAGCTGGAGCAAAGGAAGCATATCACAGAAATAGTGGTTGACGGTATTTCCATCACAGAAGGTCAGTCTCAGGATGCATCCAGTATGGATCATGGCATCAGAAAAACCCATAAAATAGGAACCAAATATAAGGTAGAAGCACACTTTAGGGGACATAGCAGTGTTATATAAAAGTGGATTACAGATGGCTACATAGCGGTCATAGGCCATTACCGTTAGCATATAGCATTCAGAAATGACAAAAAACAAAAAAAGTATAGCTGAGTCATACATCCCATGTAAGAGATAATATTCTTGCTTAATACAAAATTCCCCAGCATTTTGGGTATAATCACAGAAGAATAACAGAGGTCTATTAAGGACAAGTTAAAAAGGAAAAAGTACATGGGGGTGTGAAGATGTGAATTCAGCACAATTAGAATGATCAAACCTAAATTTCCCACTTCAGTGACTATATACATTACCAGAAACAGGAAGAACAAGGGAATTTGGAAATCAGACTGGTCTGTTAAGCCCACCAGAAGGAATTCAGTCACAAAAGAGCTGTTTGCAAGAGCCATTCTTCTGTAAGAGAATCTGTGGACACAGGAAAAAGGTGACATTAGAGAACAACTGAGATATTCCAACAATATTTTCACCCACAATGTAAGGGATATGTTGGAAATGCCTAGCACTCACCAACCTAAATCCAGAGAACTTGCCTTTAATGGTATGTGATATCAAGCGGCATTGTCTTCCACTTTTTTAGAGACTTAAAAGCTAAATATAAGTTAAGAGCATCACCAAGTTAGCCCATAGAGGTAAGGCTAGTGCTGTCATGTATGAGCAGGACTGTTAGAAAAACCATAGAAAAAGTAAAAAGAAGTTGGACAAGATAGGATGGACCTTCTCTCATCTCATCATTTCATTGCTTCTACCCTCAGTTCACTGGTAAAATTGGAGACAGAACAATTACCAACCTGGTTCTGACTTACAAAGCGGATCAGATGGATATGGAACCACGAACACTGTTTCTAATCTAACATGAAAGAAGCAGAGTCTAGGAATTGTTAGGTTTGTGTCTCATATCACAATAACACAGACAAATCTACAAGAGTGCAAGACCTGTCCATGGAGAGGGGACTTAGAAGTAAAGACACTGCACTCCAGTTCTGTTTATCACCAAAACAATCTCCCTGCTTTTTAGAGATTCTTGCACAAATTTTACTTGACTCTTAGCATTGTACACAGTATAAAGAAAATGGTATATCTCTAAGTCCCTGAATTTCAACTTGAGATGTGAGGACATTTTGCTAAGAGTAATAAGCAAAACACTGAACGAGAAATATTTGCATGATCTCTCCTATATGTTGAATTTACAACTGTAATATTAGCATAAGCAGAAAGAATGATCAGTTGCTGGGGTCAGTGGGAGAGAAAATCATGTGATGTTGGCCAAACTGTAAAAAGCTTCAATTATGCAATTTAGATTTAGAACACCTAACATAAATCATGCTAATAATAGTTAACAACACAGTATTGTATACTTGAAATTTATAAATAGAATACATCTTAAAATTTTCATGGATAATTACGTAGAGGTGATGGATATGTTAATTAGCTTTATTGTTGAGACATACTGTTGTGTCTTATATGTATATATAAACATATATGTATATAAAACATTTATATATATATATGGGATCATTTCTCTGTGTTTATATTGATCCAGACAAGTTGTATACCTTATAATGATATCTTAATTATGGTGTTAAATAAAAATTGAGACATTAATATAAATAGATTTTGAAACTTACCCTCCTTAGAAGAGAGAAGTTTTGTGCTTCCTTTTCACTGGGACTTATCCCTGTGTGCTCCTAGCATGCAGGGCAATATCAGGCTGTAAGGCTTTGGTTCATTTGATCCTAAAAACCATATTTTTCATTTTCCCTTTAAATCTTTGTAAGATATTGGTCACAGCTTAGAAGCATAACCCTTTGTCCTCTGAAACAGTGGTGAAAAATATTCAGGCTTTATTATTATCACATTAGCTATTAAACACAGGAAGATTTTACATGAGATTCAAGGTGTAATCCTCTTGGCTATATTTGCTCAGTATCTGTAAACAAATTCCAGGTTTAATAAGGAAAGGAGTCAATTTCATTACATAGTTGACTATGATGAGTTTTTAGTTCCTTAGGGATCAATATTTTACTCAGATATTTTATTCTCTTTAGGGATTAAACATCTTTCATTCTTGAGCCAATACTAAACTTCCCTCTCCCCATCATCTTGATCTCTTAAAGGAAATCTATTGTTCTTGATCATTCTTTGTTCCCACGTCAATGATGTTCTACAGAGGCTACATTCAGATTTTCTTATTACATTATGACAAATTTTTCAAAAAATGTAGCAACTCACCTCATACATTTCCTCCTCTGTGATATCTCTGAAATCAATTATTTTGGATTGCCTCCCAACTAAATGTCTTTTTATAACATTCACTGGAATTTCCTACCTGAGTGTCTTGTTGAGTCCTTACCACTCCAGTGATGAGCTGTTTGGTTCCTACACTCCTCATAGAAAAGAATAGGACTATAGAGTTATAGGATCTATGTTTGAATCCTCCCTACACTTCCTAACTATAATGCTTTAAACAAGTGATTTAACATTTCCGTGACTCAGATTCATCTTATAAAAATAGAGGTGGTAAACATAGCATATTTTTATTGGATTGTTGTGGTGTCAAATGAAAAAATATACAGATGATTCAAATAATGAGTTAACTCAAATAATGGCCTGTATAAGGGAAATAGTTAAATGTCAATTCAATGTCAGCTATGAGAAAAGGTGCTCTTGGATTTCTAAAATGTATATGTCCATATTAATTCATCAAAAATAATAAATATCCTCAGTTGAAAATGAATTTATTGAACCTGACCTACCAAACATCATAGCTTGGTCTAGCCTACCTTAAATGGGCTCACACTTGGTCACATAAGACTATTGGACCACATTGCACTAGCCAAGGAAAAGCTCAACATCAAAACCAAAGCACACAATATATCAAATGTGTGTTATTTTCATACTACCAAGAAGTCAAATAATTGTAAATTATACCACTCTAAATTGGAGACCATCTATATTTATGTTTTCTTCATTTCTGGTGCATGCTTTGTCATAAAGCTGAACAGAAATGTTTGGGGTTTTTTTTCACATTTTAATTCTTTTGCAACTCTATAAACTATAACTTCTGTAACTTACATCTCTTATACAAATTATGTATAAGTTCATAACATACATTGTTCTGTCTTATTGACTACTTTGTGCCTCATGGCAAGTTCAATACAAACCACATTGTAGGCATTCATCAAATACTTGTGAAAATCAAATTCTTTTCCAACTGAAGCCTTCAGAATCTTTCCTCATTTCTCACATGATAAACAATGCATGTTTATCATGTGATAAACGGTATCACATGTACAATGCAATGACAACCATCCATTTTTCCAGTTCACACTTAAGAACTTGCTATTGAACTCTAATAATTCCTATTATTCTAGCATTTCCCATACATCAACTTGTGTTTAGCCACCTACATGCTCCCAGCATGTCTTTGAGTACACAACTCGGTTCCTCTAAAGCAAGAATATTCAGGAACAGTGACATTAGCAAAATGGCTGCATATGAATTTTTAGGTTTCACAAATCCCACAGAAGGTTGAACTATCAACTTCTCACAGATAAGAATACCTTGGTGATCCTACAGCTTATAAATAGGCCTGATGCACCAATTTGGACCACAGAACTATATAACATATTAACAGGAAATATCAGAGAAATGGGCTCACTGCATACATTTTTCCTCCATTCCACCAATTTGGCATGGTCTGCACAGAAAATATTCCCAGGGTCCACAGATATTGTAATAGGAGCAAAGAACTAAAGACAGATATCCATCTTCTCTAGCATTTTAAGAAGGTTCCTCGCAAGCCTCTACAATCTTACCCTATGGGAAAGCAGAGGTTAAATGTGTAGCTCGACCACTGAGATCAGGTAAGAACAAAGCAAGGGATAGAGTCCACAGTAGCCAATGCCCTCATCTTGATGGTATCTCTGTATACTTACCAGTGGGGGTGCCTGATAGCAATATGCCCACTTGTGAAGAAAATCTGGTCAATCTTCGAAGCATTGGGAAGTTCTATATGGCTTGAATGACCAACCTCAGACACTATCTGAGGCCCCACACCAGGTGAGAGACACCCACTACAGCACATATCTACAAAATAAGGGAATAACTTCTACCACAGCCTGTAGTTTAAATAGTACTGAGTTCACCCTTAACACCTACTCAAATTACTTATGTATTTCAGGAAGGAAACCTCAACTACCCATTCCTACTAAGCATAGCAGTTTTTCCTGTTCTTCCTGAGCAGTGACACTATTTACCCTTACAAGGACAAAAGAATTAGAGTCCTGAAGTCATGTTACCTCCAAAAGAAATTAACAAAATTCTAAACATTGATCCTAAAGAAATGGATATCTGTGAAATAAAAGGAAAGTATTAATAATCTTCTTCATGAATTTCAGTGAACTATAAAAATTAATGTTTAAAAATTAAATATAATATTGAAAATAGAATATGAACAAAGTGAGAGGTTTAACAAATAGATAGATAAACTATAAGAACAACTATTAGGAGGAGTCAAGATGGGAGATTGGTGGCAAGCAGGCCATTCCAGCTTCTCTGCAACTTAGAATGTAAACAGCCAGAAAACAACTTTGAGCAAGGTACATGACCGAAGAGACAAAATAAAGTTTAATCTTGGAAAACAGAGACTAGCAAAGACCCAGAAACTCTTGTATTGAAAGAGAGGACAAGAAACATCAAATCAGAGTTGAGTCCAAGTGCTCTGGTGGTGGAGGATAGAGTAGGAGAAACTGGGAAAGAAGGAGAGATGCATTGGGGAAAAATTTGGCCAAGAAACAGAGGCAGAACTGAAAGGCAAACTGAACTTAGCCAATCTGGCAGTTGTATATCATGCTGGCAATTGAAAAATGCTCTGTGTTTCTCACAGCAAAGGTGTATTTTAACAAGGAGCCAACTTGAGAAGATTGCAACCAGCTTGATGCTTTGAGAAACAAGTTCTTACACCCTCCTTTCTTCTGAGACCCACAGACCCTTCTAGTGTCTGGCCAGCGTATGTGTTTTGGCCTAGTGTAGCACTGGAGGAATGCAACTGAAGCGGGTTGGTTTACTATGGTTTGTGTACTGAAAAAGAAAATTTCTGTTTCTTTCCACCTTTCTCCTGCTTTCTCTCTTGTCACTTTTTGAATATTCTAATTTCTTTCACTTTCCATTTCCTTTTTTCTCACTTAAGTACTTTTTCTCTTTATTTTTTCCTACCATTTTTTAAAACATTCTGGTTTATATTATTTCTGCTCCCCCCATTCCTATTGTTCTAAAGTTGCAGAGATCATATTTATTTTTCTGTCTGTTTCAATCTTCCCTGCTGTCATTACTGCTATTTGTTTTCCCCTTTCTACTCAGGCATGGGGATGGAGCACAGCAGATTGAGGGC